TAGAAAAGAGATGAAGACGACAGTGGGGTGTCATTTCATTTAAACACACACATGCACACATAAAAACAAGTGCATGCACACACACATACGTGCATATATACACAGATATATACGGTAATTTTATATTAAAACTCTTCTGTAAATGACTTTATATCTATAAATGTATACATACATAATGTTATTTCATGGAGGTAAATAAAGATTAAAAGATACCAGAAACCATTTAGAAGAAGAGAGGAAGAATGTTAATAGCATGTATTAAGTGCCTTGTAGGCATTAGTCTCATGACTTTAACCGCATTTAATTTTGAAAGTAACCATAAGATGTTGGAGTCATGAGCCTCATATAACCAGTTTAATGAGAAATCTAAACTCTTTGTAGGACAAACGTGAAACAGTTTTATTTTTTCTAATTATCTTGTCAACCACATTCTCTATTCTGGGCAGCGGGGATGTTTAATGACATCTCAGCTTGATTCTCTGACTTTTCAGTCTCTTGGTTTTTTGAAGTGTCTCATTTGGGTTCTGAAGAGTCAGTCCTGTTTATTTAAAACCTTCCATCGAATTCCTAATAACCTCTGTCTTTTCCCTTCTGCCTGGGTGGGCTAGGCCTGTGGCTATGGTGGCTTTGGGAGCAGAAGGGATGGGCTGGGTGGTCTCCTCTGACAGGGCGCCTCCTTCCCTCCCTGTTTTCTGCCCTCCTTCCTCCCTTTCAGTTGTGGTTGGAAGGAGAGAGTGAAGACACTGCCTTTTTACTAAATCCTGTAAATGAGGTCACAGTTCTTGAATTGGAGGATTCTATATGCTGTTTTGACTTCTTTCTTTGGACTCCCCATTTATGAGCAGCAGCTCCTGCGTGCCTACCTGACAAGGAAGTCATCCCTGGCAACTCCCTTAGGCATTTACAGTTCCCTGTAAGATCTGTTCCCATTGCTTTGGTATGTGCACCTTTTTGTCCTCAGGTGAGACTGTCCCTAGTAAAATAGTTACTGTAAATCACATCTACCCTCCATATTTGAGTTTGGAGTTACAAGTGTCCATCTTGCATATTTCACTGAATCTGAGAACTTGAAGGCGGCTGCTATCGACTGAATGTTTTCGTCTCCCCCACCTCTAACTTATATATTAAAACCTAATCACCAAGATGATGGTATTGAAGGTGGAGACTTTGGGGGGTGATTAGGCCATGAGGGTAGAGCCTTTATCAACGGAATGAGTGCCCTTATAAGAATGACCCCAGGCCCCGTGAGGTGGCTCATGCCTGTAATCCCAGCATTTTGGAAGGCCAAGGCGGATGGATCATGAAGTCAGGAGTTCTAGATCATTCTGGCCAACATGGTGAAACCCTGTCTCTACTAAAATACAAAAAGTTAGCCAGATATGGTAGTGAGTGCCTGTAATCCCGGTGGCAGGGGAATCACTTGAACCCGGGAGGCGGAGGTTGCAATGAGTCAACATTGCGCCACTGCACTCCAGCCTGGTAACAGAGCAAGACTCTGTCTCAAAAAAAAAAAAAAAAAAAAAAAAAAAGAGAGAGAGAGAGAGAGAGAGAGAGACCCCAGAGAGAGCTCCCTTCCCCTTCCACCATGAGAGGATACAATGAGAAGAGAGCTGTTTATGAACCAGGAAACAGGCTCTCACTGGACACTGAATCTGCCAGCACCTCTGTCTTGGACTTCCAGCCTCCAGAACTGTGAGAGATAAATTTCTGGTTTTTGTAAGTTACACAGTCTGTGATATTTTGTTACAGGAGCCCAAACAAATTATAGGAGCAGTCACAAATAATAAAGACAAAGCATGTGTGACATTTCATTAAAAAAGGTAACAGTATCATGTCCAACTACCTAATCCCTCATCAAAATGCTTCTGCTTCTGATGAGAAAAAAGGGAAGGGGCATGAGCTGTTGGTTTTTATTGCCCTCTGTAACTCCATAGCACGGAATCAGTGATGGCATTCCCTGAGTCATTTAGCAAATATTTACCAAACATGTATATGTAATGCACACCATTTTGATGTTGGGTATGGATAATTCCATAAAGAGAACTTGACATGTAGGTAGAAAGGTAGAAAAATTTCAAATTCCACTACTCCAAAGTACAAAAAATAGTCTAGCTTTTTTCTTTTTCCTTTTTCTTTTTTTGAGACAGAGTCTTGCTCTGTCACCAGGCTGGAGTGCAGCGGCATGATCTCAGCTCACTGCAACCTCTGCCTGCCGAGTTCAAGCGATTCTCCTGCCTCAGCCTCCCGAGTAGCTGGGACTACAGATGCGTGCCACCGCACCCAGATAATTTTTCTATATTTAGTAGAGACGGGGTTTCGCCACATTAGCCAGGATGGTCTCAATCTCTTGACCTCATGATCTGCCTGCCTTGGCCTCCCAAAGTGCTGGGATTACAGGCCATGAGCCACCATGCCCGGCCTGATATAACCTTTCTTATATGCCCTTATCCTGCTGTGTGTTGACTAGTGGCAGGGAGTGCTATCTAACTTTCCAATTAATATATTAGTGTTTGGGGTTGTAAACTGACCTTTTATACTTATTAGACCTTTTTGCATAATGTTCAATCTGTGAAAGTGTCACTGACCCAACTCACCCACTCCTATCCATACATATGAGGGCCCTTAGGTGACCTCATGGCAATGGGAGGGACCTCAGAGCCATGTGCTGACCCCGCAGCTGGCTGGGCTGGGCTGTACTGGGGGTGGAGTTTGACCCCATCGAGGCAGTTTGTACCCAGAACTGTAATCCATGATCTCGGTTCTTTACCTCTGGTAGCTAATTCTCAACAGTCTGTGTCTCCATCTCAATGCCAAGAGGATATAAATCCCCTGACCCTTTTAGCACCTTGACATTTCATCATTTGGGGTATACAAATTTCTGGCTCTCTTGCACACCATAGTCAGGACATGAGCCACATTCAACAGTGTGAACTCAAGCCTATTTGTCTAATTCTCTCCATCTATCAGTGCTGCACCATTGATGATCTCTCACCTAGAAACAAGCCTGTGGTCTTCTCAGGACACAGTTGAGAAGGCAGTCACTAGTCTTGATTTTCCAGGGTTCCCCACACTATGGAAATCTCTACAACCTCTTCTTTTTGTGAATCAGCCCTGCATGTGTGGAGGACAGGATTTATATCCCATCTTCTTGTACCTCAGTCACTCTTTTTCTTCCCCATACTTTTCTAGGCTAGAAGCAGGCAGTCTCCTACTCCCTGTCAATTTGGACTTCCTCTACCTGATACTTTCTTCTTCCTAGGGACTCAACACCTCATGGATTAGCTTCCTGCCTCAGTGGAATGATGCAATGCAGGAAGAGACACATGCTTCTGATAAAGAAAAGGGAACACATGGGGTGCAGTTATTAAAAATATTCTTCTTATTTTTCAGAATAAAGAATTTTTTTATATTTCATCTCCATGGAAGGTTAATAAAACTTTTAAAAAAATTCCAAGGAGTTTAATAAAAGAGACTTTAGAAGGAGAAATAACTCTGAGCCTCTGTAAATCCTATTGCTCTAACACTTCAGCCAACTATAAAGAAGACCTAATACCCCGAACCAATGAAACATGAAGTTAGATGTACTGCCTCTTCCTGACACACAAATGCACAGTCATTGACACAGTCTTAGGGCAGCAATCTATTATAAGCTGGCTTTGATGTTGCATTTTCAAAGTTAACATTTACAGGTGATTCAATGGGAATTCAAATCAAGTGCAAATTTCTGAGGAGTTCCTGAGGAATAAGTAAGAATTCAAAGCCTATCTTTAAGTAGTAAATGTTTAAGCAGATGCATAGTTTTCTTTCTGTGTATAAGCATGGGGTAGAAATTCCTTATTCACACTGTACGTGATTCCTGTGATATGACAGCTGAGATTCTGGATTAAAACTGAGAGACATAAAATTTATTGTTAAAAGTTTACACTATTTCTGTGAAACTACAGCTGGATTAGGAGATCAAAAATAAGCTAAGTTTAACAAACTCCAGAAAAATTGTTATCTCAGTAAATGGATGTTTTAATGTTCATTACCTACAAAAAAGCGGTTTGCTGTGGCTGGTAAAAATTTAGTCAAGTTCTGAGATCAGCTTCCTTACAAACCGTCGGTTTTAACTTTGAATGAATGCAAATGCTTCTGTTTAGCTTTATTACATATTTAATAGTATCTTCCATGTGTGATCATAGTCCTTGTCCTCAAAGAATTTCTGGCCTTAGGAAAGAGACATGTCATTCAACTAAGAAATCACGTGCTTTGACTCATGCATGTCTCATTCTGATGGTTCTATGGGACTGGGTCATCAAGGGGTTTCAAGCAGGTAGCATCTTGGATCTATTAAGAGCAAAATGGCCGGGTGTGGTGGCTCACGCCTGTAATCCCAGCACTTCAGGAGGCCTAGGTGGGCGGATCACGAGGTGAGGAGATCAAGACCATCCTGGTCAACATTGTGAAACCCCATCTCTACTACAATACAAAAAATTAGCCGGGTGTGGTGGTGGGTGCCTGTAGTCATGGCTACTTGGGAGGCTGAGGTAGGAGAATCGCTTGAACATGGGAGGTGGAGGTTGCAGTGAGCCAAGATCACACCACTGCACTCCAGCCTGGTGATGGAGCGAGACTCCCTAAAAAACAAAAACAAAAACAAACAAAAAACCTGAGTGCTCAGCGTTTGTCAGTGAATGAAAGATGAGGAAGATGTGAAGCCCTCCCACCCACCCTCATGTGAGCCACACAGTGGATGGGAACAGAGGAGAAAATTTCAGAGAATGGCGGGGCCCCAATCACAGTGGATGGTAGCGATGTGCCAGTGTAGAGAAGCTCTAAAGTTGAGAATAGTGTCTATTATAACTTCTGCTTGACATACAAAATGCATTTTTGAAGAAAAAAATTGTGGATCTGGTAATTAAGCAGTTAGAAAGATGTTATTTAGGCTTTATTGCATACAGATACCACCAATTTTCATGCCCCCAAATTGTTGACCTACTCATTTTTTTCTATTCCAGGTACTATCTTGAGTTGGATGAATAGCAAACTGGCAGGCGTGGTGGCTCATGCCTATAATTCCAGCACTTTTGGGAGGCCAAAGTAGGTGGATCAACTGAGGATAGGAGCTCGAGACCAGCCTGGCCAACATGGTGAAACCCTTGTCTCTACTAAAACTACAAATATTAGCCAGGCATGGTGGTGTGTGCCTGTAATCTCAGCTACTCCAGAGGTTGAGGCAGGAGAATCGCTTGAACCTGGGAGGTGGAGGTCACAGTGAGCCCAGATTGGACCAGTGCACTTCTGCCTGGGCAACACGGTGAGACTCCATCTCAAACAAAACAAAACTGGCCCCAAATGGTCCAAAAGTATAGACACGTAGGTAGGAATCTTACGCAGTTCTCACCAGGACACATGACTGTTCTGAGGCAGAGTTTGATAGCAGCTGAGATGGACTGGGAGGCATTGCAAAGGCAGAGTGTTGGGTCTTAGGAGGCAGAGAGTATATGGGGGGATAAAGAAAGGATATAGATTTTTGAAAAAACACTCAGGTTTTTAAATTTTATAAAAGGTATAGACAAAAAATTTACATCGTGAACAGGTTTTATGGGAAGGAGTTGATTTACGCTGAAACATGTTCAGTATGAAGTGATGTCAAAGTTAAGTTGAGATATATGGTTGAAGGCATGCGGTCATGAAGACTGCAGAAAGAGATTTGGGACCTAAGAGGACAGTGGTAGGTTGAAGAATGGCCCCAAAACTGCTTGCATCCTGATTCGCTGAACCTGTGAATGTCACCTTATGCGGCAAAAGGGAATTTGCAGTTGTGATGAACTTAAGGATCTTGAGATGAGAAGATTATTGCATTATCCTGGTGTGCCTGATGAATCACAGCGGTTCTTAAAAAAGGAATGAGAGAGATCAGAGGTAAGTAAGCAGTAAAATGATGGAGGCAGGAGTTGAGTGATGTGTGGAAGGGGTCATGAGCCAAGGAATGTGGGCAACCTCCAGAAAAAAACAGCCCAGCTGACACCTTGACTTTGGCTAGGGGAAACTGATTTCAAGCTTCCGACCTCCTGAAGTGTAAGATAATCAGTGTGTGTTGTTTTAAGCCACCAAGTTTGTGGTAATTTGTCACAACAGTCATGGGAAATGAACGCAAGGACCTAGGGAACACTGAAAAGAGAAGATCCTCATTTGCTGTAACTAAAACACATCCAACATTTGGAGAGCTTTTCAGTTCTGCTTCAATAGCCTGCAACAGAGTGCGGTGTGATAAAATTCCACTCGGGTCACCCAGAAATTCAGGACCATACACAGGCTCCATGAGAACACAGATGATCTGTTGCGCTCCATTCCCTCTCTCTTTTTGGCAGAGAGTGAAATCCCTAATGAGCTTTGTAGGCCCAGGGCCTGTTTCTGATACATGGTAGGTGTTTAAAGTACATCAGGCTGGGCATGGTGTCTTATGCCTGTAATCCTAACACCTTGGGAGGCTGAAGTGGGAATATCGCTTCAGGCCAGAGTTTGAGACCAGCGGGGGCAACATAGCAAAATCCCATCTATTTGAAAAAAGAATTATATATATATATATATATATATATAATTTTATATATATATAAATGTATAAAATTTTCTCAAACTAAAGAGAATTTCAAACTTTTATGTTTTTTAATTCTATGAAAATGTTTTTTCCAGTAAAAAAATTAAATTTACTTATATTTTGCATTGAACATTTTACATTATAGGACATTTTCATAAAAATCAGATGTCCAGTTCTTCAGTCAGTGTTTCTCAAGCAAATGTCCCTGTATCCTGGTTGTAGGGGATGGATCTATGGATGTATTCTTGGGGTTTTGAAGACATTTATAAATTACTAAAGTTTGAGGGACACTGAAATACACAAATGTTGAAGGAGCAAACGGATAAGGAATACATGCTTTAAGAAAACCCAATTTGGTAGTTAATTCAGTAGGAACAAAATGTAAAGCAAGTTGTTTTGTGGTGTGGAAATCAAATAGCTAATTGGCATGTTAAATTATTTTACATTTCAAGCTAGAGCAATCATGCAGGCATGGCCTTGCAACACATTTCCCTCACCATTTGTTTTCTCTGTTACAATACTAAGTGTACTACAACAGTGAGAAGAAATAGCACCAGAATACATCTTGCACCTATTATCTGTCCTGACGGTAAAAAGTTAATGGCAGCATCCCCCTTTGGGCCCCTAATAGATGGCACATCATTGTTTCAGAACACCTGAAAGAATGTCTGGGTGCACCTCCCCAAGCACCTGACAAGGGAGAGGTGGGGGCCCAAGAGTAATTGCCATGTCATTGCCATGTGATTTATTGCAATGCTTAATTATGTCTACAGGGCACCATCTGGAGACCTAATTTGTGTGCTTTATGAGCAAAAATTGCAGTCAAAATGTTCCTTCTTCTGAGCATAACTGGGTCCCACTTTGGACTTCTTGCACCTTACGCTTGATCCCAACACTATGTCCTAATTATTTTAGTTTAGAGCGTCCCAGCCACACAGAGCGACTCTTATTCTAGAGGCAATGGGCTTTTCCTTCTTATACTATATTATTTAATGGGTTAAGCATGTAGGGAGTTTTGCAGTATACCAAAAACCCCACAGTAAAGTGATATCACAATGAACGTGTTTCTGAACTATTACTAGCCATCAACCAAAAGCAGTATTGCATTTATTGGCATCTGATATTTTTTTTCTAATTACCAATTGGCAAGTAATTGTCCCCAAACTATTTGCTTAAAAGGGTTGATGGCAAATCAGCATTACTTGATTCGGATTGCTTTTTATTCAGTTTTCAAATAGATTTTAACCTGTTACAGGAATTTTTTTAAAAAATCATATTACTGTGCTGAGTTGATTTAAGAAATGCTTACTCCTTTCAATTAAAACCCAGAGCATTAATCAAATGTTTGACACTATAAATGTTTCCAATTAACATCTAGCTTAAAACCACATGTGCTCCAAGTGAAATTCAAAAGATCTATCTGTACAGGTGACCTCAGAGAAACCATTAACACATGGCTGGAGACAGCAAGAAACTTTCTCCACTGGCAAGCCTGAGATAAAGAATCACTCTATGACTGATTAGTACTTCAAACATGCTTTTCTGATGTGGGTTCCTTCAGCTGGAAGTTGAATATTTTTCACTGAGTCAAAAAGGAAAATAAAATTAGGAAAATATATATAGAGAGAGCGAAGTTTAAAACAATCCTATCTGGATGAGCAGTTAGTAGTTCCAAAACCTATCGAAGGCAATGATTGGTCACAATGTGAGCCTAATCAGTAATCTTAAGTCTAAGAGAAATTTTCCAAGTTCTTTTTCACTTCCTCACGCAGAGGTTGCAAACTCAGATACCTCCAGAGTCCAAGCAGGTAGTGTAAATGAATGAAATGAGAGTGTCAGGTGAACTGGAGGCCTCAGCAAACTAAATGGAATACCTCCTGCCTAAATGGGAGAGTTCCTACCCACCAGCAATCAAGTATTGTCATGTGAAAATGACAGCCCTATAGTACTAAACATTCTGCTATTCTAAGAGAAGCCAGAAAAAAATCTTTTTCATGTGAATTCATAAATTTGAAATGATGGCAATTACCTCTGTGGAAAACAAAAACAACACAGACCTCTTTGCAGCCAGCCTGTGACCTTTGTGTCTGCTGCTGTGTAGAACTGGGAGCAGGACTGACACAGTCAGAGATAGTCAAGGCCGGTATGAGGATGAAGGTGAGCACCCTTCAGTAATATGTCAGCACGTCATAAGACTTGGAGAGCATGCTTTGGCTGGCTCACTGTTGAATCTACCAGCGCCTGGCAGAAAAAGAGAGAGCACATACTTCCCAAATAATTTCTCAACTGATCAGTCAAATGTAGTTAAATTATTCCAGGTGTGCTATGCAGGGAGTTATTATGGCCATAAGTAAAATGGTAACATTAAGACAAGCCCATTTGCCCAGTGACCTGATGAATTGCATTCTCTCTCTCCTGTCTCTCAGTGGCCTATCAACAGCTGGGGTTGTCAATCCCACATTGAGGACTGCTAATAAACACCTAGGCCTAGTCTGTAGAAAGATACATATTTCTCTTTTTTTTTCCCCTTTCAAATATCTTTCCAAAAGAGAAAAAGCAGATGATCATAATAAGATAAATGGCTGGCAGTTTGCACAGAGAGAAATATTTGACATTCAGAAACAATTTCAAGACCCCAAGAGCCATACATTCATGTTTGTGCAAAGATTTTTTTTTTTTTTAATCTAAAGCAAAGCTAAGGTCTGTGTGCCTTTGGTGGAAATTGCTCAATGGCTTTGAAAGTAAGAAAGATGATCGTTTTACTTTATCAAGGAGACAACTCAGGTCATAACTAGAGCCAGAAGACTTGGGATTTTGCCTTTTTTTTCTGCTTGCTAACTAGCTACAGGGTTGCTCAGTAACTTGCATTACTCTTTCCATCCTTAGTTTAAAAAAATTGATCAGATACCAAATTTTATATATAAAATGTAACTAACAACAGCTGAGTAAACAAGATCAGACAAAATAAAGCCCATAAAGCAATTTGTAAACACTGGCTTGTTTCTTTCTTTGAATTTTTTTTCTGAAAATAGTTTCTGGGTTTCCTTGAGGACTTGTTTGATTGCAAACGTCAGGAAACCCAGGTAAAACTAGCTTAGCAATAACGACCAAAAGATTATCTTTCACAACAGAAAAATCTGGGTGTAGACTTTAGGCCTGGCTTCTCCAAGGTTCATAGTAATGCCACCATGACCCAGTCTTTGCTGCATCATAATGAAGCAGGAGCAGCCTCAAACACAGAACTGGGAAGGAAGAAGTGTTTATTATTATTACTATGGCCTGGAGCCAGGGACAATTTGTCTAAGTGACCAAGCTCCCCTGCTAAAGAGAAGCTCTGCCTTTATATAGGCTTATACTCTAGACATTACACATGAAAGGATCTTAGGTTTACAGCCTTAGAAATTAGGAGTGAAAGGGTCTTGGGTTTGCAGTTTTAGAAATCACATACGAAAGGGTCTTGGTTGATGGAGGAGTGGGGTGGTGTTTTGGTCTTAAGTAAAAACAATGTCTTCCGGAGAGATTCCCCCACACCTTCCATTTACAGGAAGGTGATT